AGGGTTGGGAAGAAAATGATAAATTAAGGTTTTAAATTTCTATTAATTATAAGTATAAAATATAATTACCACCTGAATTTTGAAATGTAAACTTTATCACCTTGTTTTTTAAATGTAATGTTGAAAAGAAGAGTTTGAGGTAATTTTCTCATAATTATATATATACTTTCTCTTTCATAAGCGATAAAACTTAAATCTCCTTTCAAGACTTCGACTACTCACTCTCACGAAAATAAAAATACGACAAAATCCTCCCTTCGTTTTTTTCCTTTCTTCAATGATATGTTATATCAAAGACAAGGATTTTTTTTTTCCCCTTTTACTTTCGTCTCCAAATAATCTAACTTACCATAAGTTGAAATTGAAAACCACCCAAGTTGTGAATTGTCCTTTTATGCTGAAAAAGACAAATCGGTACAAAACCAAGATATTTTCCCAACTTTGCATATTTGGCATTATGAGGGGCAAGTTAGAGATTTCACTTGCAGAACCCATTAGTAACTACCCACTTTTAGGCTTTGGAGTGGGATTTTGTACATTACAAGAAGGGGAGTTTTGATTTCTTCTTTCTGGAACACAAAGAGTACATACATCATTTCTTCCTTTGCCTCCGTCTCAACGTATCTATACTAAGATTTTTTTCCCTTTTATCTTTGATTCACTTTCTTGAGTTTCTTGAAAGAATAATCCAATATACATCAATGGGTCGATTTGGCAACCCTTTTTCTTAAGGATATATATATATTTTTTAAAACCGGAATGAGCTTAGTTTAAAAGTAAAAATTATAAAATAAAAACAAAATCGATCTTTATATATTGGTCAAATATTAATGTAAAATTCACAAATACTATAAACTTGTTAGCTACTCATCTACTCAGCTTTTAAAGAATTCTGCTATTCAATGTACATCTTTGTTGTCATTCAATGGGCTGTAAATATCTATTTCATTAATTTTTTTAAGTATTGTTAAAATCAATGACAAAAATCTTAGCCACCTCACACGATATCAACTAAACTGTGCATGTAGCTTCTTTCTTTTTTAAAAGTAAAATTTAGCAATTAAAAATGAAACCACAAAGAGGCTCTTTAACAACTTTTTCCATTTTTCTTGTTTCTTCTTCTCGATTTTCTTGAGCAAACAACTTGATGTCACGTGAGGGAATCAGTTTGATAACCCTATTCTTTACGAAAATTACTTATCTTGGCACGGGCTTAGCTCGAAAGTAAAAAAAGTAAAAGGCTAAAATTGACTTATTTAAACGTTATCAAGTGTCATAACGTTAGTAAGAAAGACATGAAATCTAACAAGCCCTAGAAATAAAGTGAAATTAGTCATTGTTTGAGTCCAATTTTAAGAACACACTTTGTAAAAGTAATTTTTTTCAAAAAAATAAAAATTGTGAGGTTAAAAATAAGGATATTTTTAAAGTTTTAAGTGTAAAATTATTTAGAGAATACAATCGAAAATAAATTTTAAAAAATGGAACTCAAAAATAGAATTAAAAGCCAACAAAATTATTTTTGGTTAGTATAATACATAACAAGTAAACCTATCATTGTATTCAGCCCACGTTTGGTCCCCATTATTGATAATTTTAATGGTGGGAATATATATTTTTCAAAAAATATGTGTTTAAAAAAGAAAAAAATATTTTTAAATTATATATAATATTATTTTATTAAAAAAATATGTAATTGATATGAAAAAAGAGAAAAATAAATTATAATTTTAACAGGCAAACGAGTAGCCTTAGTTAGCATAATAATAGGGACAAACCCTTAGGGTTCTTTGAAAGATCAATACGCCGTCACACGTATATATAACTCAAGAAGCTTCTCTCTCGTTACTCTTCTTTATAAACCCTCAAACACCTCCCTACTACTCGGCTCTACTTTTATAATTTTTAATTAATCAGAAAACACTCCCTTCGCTATTTTCTTGAAATTCAATGTGAATAAAGAAGGCCTACAGTTTCTTATTTTATGCTGAAAGAAAGTGAAATTTTAGGGTATAATCATGGTGTTTGTTAGTTTTCTCATAAAAAAAATTGGAATTTCTTAAAGCTCAATTGTCAAAGAATTGGTTTTTATGAGCTCAAAGCTCTGATTTTCAGGTTGTACATGCAGGTTTTGTAGGTTTAGTTTTTAGCATAAAAGCTGTATTCTTGAGAGCTTTCTAAGGCTTTTAGGGTTTGTGCGTTTTGGTGGGATTAGTTTAAATATCCTTGGTGGAAGGAGGATTTAGGCGTTGTGTAAGAAATGTTATCTGAACTTGATCGAAGACCAATGCTCAGAAACAATGAAAATTCCTTTGGTGATGAGTTGGAGAAGGAGATTGGTTTCTTGCTTCGTGAACAGCGGCACCAAGATGTTGATGCACGTGAAAAGGAACTGAATATGTATAGGAGTGGATCGGCTCCACCTACTGTCGAGGGTTCGTTGAAGGCAATCGGTGGGTTGTATAATCACGGTGATGTTGGTGGTGACAGCAGCGGTGGAATGGCCTTCCCTGAAATTGCTAGGAATAAGAGCGGTAATGGGTTCATGACAGATGAGGAACTTAGGTCGGATCCGGCATATTCATCTTACTATTACTCAAATGTCAATCTGAACCCAAGGCTGCCGCCACCTCTGTTATCCAAGGAGGATTGGCGGTCTGCCCAGTGGTTACAAGGAGGGAGTTCTGCAATTGGGGATGGAAGGAAGGTTAATAGGAGTGATAGTA